ATATATATATATATAAATATATACGTATGTTGCATGCTCATACAAGAGGGCGCAAACCAGGCATATTGCGCTACAAGGATCTATAAACAATTTTAATTGAGCTTGGACATCTGGCCTTCAGTCCTGATGTTCGGTATATGACACTGAGAAATTGATCCAATATCGCAATAACAATGTACATGGAAATTGAGACCGTGAATGGTAGCATTGAGAGTGTGCTAGGGTACGCTGCATGGCAGTATGTGTTGTTTGTAAACCTGTGAAGATTAGCAAGTTGAATTATACGCCACCCTTCGCCGTACTGCACTACGTGGCACAACGTAGTGCAAGACATCATGCTGCGAAGCTTTGTAGAAGAATGAATATATCCGCTTTCGACCAGCCTTTGATCATAAAGCTGCGGGTTTTAATTTGCAGTTTGTAAATAAGCGCGTGATCAGTGTAAGAGTATAAACTGCAGATGTACACATGCTGATACCCTCATGTGTACATTGGTGCGAAAATATTTTTGTGCAAACTGTGCTCGTTTACCTGGTTATATGTTCTCATTTTTTACGAACATTGCACAGGAATATAAAAGTAAAATATATCGTAAACTAGTAGCTAGTTGTGTCTGGTAGATTAGTAGCTAGTTGTGTCTGGTAGACTAGTATCTAGTTGTGTCTGGTAGGTAAGTTCCATCGTCCTGCTAAGCGATATATGATTTTAACTTCGAGATGTGAGCAAATCCACATTACTTTCAAACTTGGCTGTGTATAGGGTAGACGCAAGTGTCAGCTCACTACATGTGTGTGCATAGACACATCTAATGCCGTCTGTAATATTACAGCACTGGTCACAACTCATTCTACTATGACAAACGCATACACTGGGGCGTAACGTCTTGGTCGCACTCTCCTCATCAGCACGACACATTTGTTGTACAGAATAATCATATCCCTTTGAATGTCACGGCACTGTCTCACCAATCCACTACCACCATCTGGCTGCACTCACCACAGCCGGGCCAATCGAGCGATTCACCGCGACAGCTGTTTGTGTCATCGCAAAGAGCCTCGCAGCGATCCGAGGGACCACCACGACCCATCCGATCGAAAGATCAGCCGATGCGCTCACCACGGTCACAAAGGCGAGCCTCCATGCACAGCATAGACAGCCAGACATACACCGACATTGGCCACCACACCCCGCAACGCAACCGCCCAACACAACAGCACCAGCACCAGCACCAGTTTGCGAAGTCTGTTGGGAAGCAGGGCAGCATGAGGCAGGTGCCTCAGATGATGACCTACAGCCAGCCATTGGCCGCCCCAGCGCCCACGCGGTCAGCCTCACACTCCGATGTCCGAGCATCTGTAAGTGGAGGATGTACTTACACGTGTATGTATAGGGCTATAGGCTTTCTCGTCACGTAGCACTGGAAAACAAGCATTTTAATTCAAATTTGTTTATACACTAACATCATGCCAACAGATATATAGGTCCGTCTTTGCAAGTGTCTGTTCACTTACTTTGTGCAAGTGTCTGTTCACTTACTTTGTGCAAGTGACTGTTCACTTACTTTGTGTGCAAGTGTCGGTTCACTTACTTTTTGCAACTGACTGTTCACTTATTTTGTGCAAGTGTCTGTACACTTACTTTGTACAATTGTCTGTGTCTCATGTGAATAGTTGATACAGTTGATAAGGTGCAGCAGAGTATTCTTATGTACATCACTTACTTTGTGTAAGTGTCTGTGTTCTCATGTGAATGGGTGATATAGGTAAGTAAGTGCAGCAGAGTACCTTCATGTACACTACCTTTGTTGTCCGTTGCATCGCCCCTGTTCATGGAGCTGACAAAGTACAACTTCCCCAACTACTCTCCGCAGGGCTGGCAGACAGTGCACGTCAATCCGTCCGGCTTCACTCGTCAAGACAAGCGCAACTTCTCTCTGGAAGTGTTTGACGAGTGCCATCGGCTCATTTGCGTCTTTAAACTGCACACACCGTACAAGAACGGCTTCTTCAGCGCCCACACGAAAGAGATGGGCGAGAACCTGACTATGGTGGACCCTCACGGTACGTGGAGGGTTTTTAGCGTTTTTTTAGATTCAGGGTTTAGGGTTAGTGGACAAAGGGGAAAGTGCCTGTGCCTAACGGGCATGACTCATACGTGGCCAGTACTCGAATGTGGCTACAGACACCTCAAACTGAAACACACTAATAGTGAGCTATCATCGGCTGATAGCTACCCAACACCTTAAAACACGAAATAACTTGTCAAAACACCTCATAACACGAAATAACACGTCAAAACACATCAAAACACGTCATAACACTTCACAACCTGAGCCGTGTTCTACCATAGCTACTGAACAGACGTGTTGCTACCGCTTTTGACCGTTGCAGGGCAAGTGCTGCGACAGGCCACCTTCTGCTTCAAGAAGTGGAAGTACTACGTGCCAGGTATGGGCCAAATGACCAGACGCGGTCTATCGGGGCAGCACAGGACATTCAACTTCGACAACGGAAGGTGTGTACACCCGTCTAAGCGCATGCATCTGCAGAGAGGAAGCGTGTGCAACCAGTGTGAGTGAAGACATCACATCGCATGCTTCTCCAGAAACTAGAAGCGAGTACTGATTCATAGCAGAGTGTAGTATACGATTTTAAAACTATATTCGCAAGAAGTACATATGGTCCTACGTGCTTGGCTAGGTTTAAACTTCACATGTGTACCACATGCTTGTCTTCTAGTGTAAATCTCTGTAAACGTATCTATACGTGCTGACGAATGCATGGCGAAGGCAGGGATATGCTGATTAAGATGTGTTTCCACACATGGAGACTGTACATATACTTCGTTGATCTGTGTTCTTGTCAAGAGCATGAGATGTGATTCATCACTACACACGCTGGGATCTCTCCACCCGCTTATGCCTCGTCAACTTACGAATGTCTTACAATTAACAATGTATCTCATCTTAAGAATGTCTTACAATCAACAATGTATCTCGTCTTAGGAATGTCTTACAATTAACAATGTATCTCGTCTTAAGAACAAGCCATTGGCAATCCATTTCATCTCAAGAACAAGCGATAAACGACGTATTTCCTTTTACGAACAAGCAAATAAAAATACATTTCATCTTTCGTCACTCCATTGTGTAGATCATACAAACTGAAGCGCAAAACTCGCATGTTAAGCTTCAAGGGAGCGACGTGCGAAGTATCTGAGTTGGGCATACCCGTTGCACGGTTCGCTGAACCCATCAGTGCAACAAGAACTGTTCTTGAGGTATATATATATATATATATATATATATATAATTAAATTAT